TCCCTCGTCTTCTATTCATCCCATGTAAACTCGTGCTAAACGTGGCATTTTTAAGCCACTTGAAAAAATGAATCTCCATGTTGATTCCTCCTCACCTATTCCTAAAACTTATTCTCAAGCCTTTAAGGATCATAACTGGCTAAATGCGATGACTGATGAATTTTCTGCTCTTATATCTAATAAGACTTGGGTGCTTGTACCCCGGCCTCATCATGCTAATGTGATTAATTGTCTTTGGTTGTTTAAAAAGAAAACTAATGCAAATGGCACTTTATCTCGCTACAAAGCCCGACTAGTTGCTAATGGTAGAAGTCAAAGTCCTGACATTGATTGTGATGGGACATTCAGTCCTGTGGTAAAGCCAGCTACCATACACACTGTTCTCAGTATTGTTGTCACTCATAAGTGGCCTATTAGACAACTTGATGTGAAGAATGCCTTTCTTCATGGTCATCTCCAAGAAACAGTGTATATGCAGTAGCCTCCTGGGTTTAAAGATCCATCTCGGCCGAATCATGTGTGCTTACTTCAAAAATCTGTCTATGGTCTCAAACAAGCACCACGCGCATGGTTTCAACGATTTGCTCAATTTATCTCACGTATTGGCTTTGTTCATAACATGTGTGATACTTCTCTATTTATATATAGGCGTGGCGGTCACATTGCCTACTTATTGCTTTATGTGGATGACATAGTTCTTACGGGGTCCTCGACTCAATTCTTGACAAGCATCATCTTTACTCTCGGTCATGAGTTCTCTATGTCTGATCTTGGTGATCTTCATTACTTTTTGGGTATCTCGGTCACCAGAAATGATGCTGGATTATTTCTCACACAACAGAAATATGCTATAGATATTTTAGATCGTGCATCCATGCTTAATTGCAAGCCTGCTCGCACTCCTGCAGATTTGTCGGCCAAGTTTGACGGTTCTGGCCCTCCTGTTGTTGATCCAACCATGTATCGCAGTTTAGCGGGTGCTCTTCAGTATCTCACTTTTACTAGACCGGATATCACATATGCTGTTCAACAAATATGCTTATATATGCATGATCCTCGTGAGCCTCATCTATCAGCCCTTAAACACATTTTACGTTACATTAAGGGTACTCCTGCTCATGGTCTTAAGATATACAGTTCTCCATCTCGCGACCTTATTGCCTATTTTGATGCTGACTGGGGGGATGTCCGGTCACTAGACGATCGACTTCAGGCTACTGTGTCTTCTTAGGACACAATCTTCTCTCATGGTCCTCAAAACGACAACATAACATTTCCCGCTCTAGTGCGGAAGCAGAATATCGCGGTGTTGCAGAAACGTGTTGGTTACGCAATTTGTTACTTGAGCTTTATTACTCTCCTCATCGAGCCACTATCGTTTATTGCGATAATGTCAGTGCATTGTATATGTCGTCCAATCCAATTCAACATCAACATACCAAATATATTGAGATTGATCTTCACACTACAAACAAAATTACATTTAGTGGCACAATTTTTCAGTGACACATATTTTTTGTGCCACTATATCATGTTTTTAGTGTCAAGGTTTTTTCTTATGCGACTAAATTCTAATTTTCATTTGGCAGTCCTGATTCCCCCACATACTAAATGCTTTCTGCCTCGCCCAAATTTTTAGAGTTTAAATCGCCTTATTTTCCTCCCTCCACGCCTCACTAAACGTTGCATTCGTCAACCAACAAACCCTAAAATTCCAAGAGTCCAAGAGGTAATGTCGAAAACCAAGCAATCAAGAGGGATTAGTCGAGATGTAAGTTTCGATTTGGTTTCGCTAGGTCATAACTAAGACCTAGTTCTTTCATGATATAATCCTAAATTCTTCAATTTCACTCACGATTATCCAACATCAACATATGTTCTGACGATGATAACACAATGACAGGGCTGGCCTAGGCGACAGCCCGTGCATCACATCCTGGAGGTGTATCAGTTTAAGCCTAGGTTTAATGGGTACATGTAAATATCTCGGCCCCAACATGTTTAATCCTTATCACCATATTTAGTTGGAGCATCAGATTGAAAGCCGCAAACAGAAATCTCGGTGTGTGCGAAGGAATGGAAGACGAAGGGGCATCACAATTTTCATCTTTTGGCAACAGGAGTACGCCGATAGTCAAGATTGCACTTATTTTCATGCCGTTCTTCAAGCCCTTAGCCAGTCAAAGATTCAAACAGTGAATATTTCATTGCAAATCAAAGGTAAATTTAACTTGCCTAATTTCAAATTTATCCTTGCCCTTCATACTTTCAGCATATATCAAAATCGACTTCTCTGATTATCTCGATTCCTACAGTCCTCATCAAAATGCTACTTTTTTACTTTATCTAACCCATCAAGACTCTGACTTTCTAAACTAATTTTGGTTTGGCTTATATAAACTAATTTTGCTTTTTGACTTTCTCTAAGCAAAAAAGGGGATGTTTAATTCGTTTTAGTTGTGTAATAACTTCTCACTCACTTAATACGTATTACTATTAGTTAAATTTTTGCTATGTATGCTAATTATTATTCATATGCTAATATGATTAGTCATTAGGGTTAATTTCAATATTTAAATGTACATTGATATTTACTTTTTATGCATCTATTAATTCAATTTGGTTTGCATTTGAAATTGGTTAGTGTCTAAATGTGAAACGGTAAATTATATTTGTATTCAATTTTTATGCACCTATTAAGTCAATTTGGTTAGCATTTGAAATTGGTCAATTTCGTATAATTGGACCTCTAAGCTCTTGATTATCTAATTAATTGAATATATTATTTATATTTTTAGAGTTGGTGAAAGAACATTTAAAGATCTAGAGAGGTTATGAATGGTTTTCTTGCAACAGGCGTAATGATGTTAACAAGTTTACTAATGCCATTATATTATCCTCTTTCAAGGTACTCATCATGTTCAAACAGTCCATGTCCATCTTATTTTTCTTTAAAAAAATTGTCATATTTTTTATATGAAATTTCTTGTGCAGCAATATCTTTAGGAGACCCATCTCTAATCTGTTATAGAACTGCTCCATGTGGTAGCAACATGTTACATAAACGGTCCTTCTGGTAGTAATTTGTTATAGAAATGGTCCCTATGGTAGCAATCTGTTACAGAAATGATCCTTTTGGTATCAATTTGTTACAGAAATGGTCCATGTGGTAGCAATATGTTTTGCCTTTCTTCACTTCATTTAGTGTTTTGCCCGTCTTCGCTTCATTTATTGTTTTGCCATTCTTCATGTCATTTTCAAAAATGGTCCCTTTAATTGTTACATGTGTATTGATTGTTTCTTTTTGTTGTTTTGTATATATTTTTTTATAGGAACTCAAAAGAAGGGTAAGGGTCATACCGTAAAATCTGTGACATGTCGACATGAAAGTTGAGTAGTGATTCAAAATAAGTAGTGACATTTAATAAGTTTGGAAACCAGTTGGAGAAGAAAGAAATGAAGTAACACAATTTCTTGGGACACTTGTAACTTGTAAGGATGACTGACAATGTTGGAATACAATATGAAGACCAGAGAAAGGATCCCATGCACATAATTTAGACTTGTTGAACTTTTTTGAAGATGGTTGTGTTTTAAATATATAGAGAATATTGTTTTAGACAAGTTTGAATTGATGTAATGATATTTTGTTTTTTTTATTATCTTAATTTTCCTATTATTATTTTTATTCTATTTAAAATAAAAAAATCAAATCTATTTTATTAACATATTTGTTTTTGTATTAAAAAAGTGCTAGTAGAAACATGAAAATAATAATTATTTTTGTAGTTAAGAAAGTTTCATAAAAAGTGTCACAAAAACCTACATGTGTTTTAGTGGCATAATCGAAAAGTGCCACTAAAACCCAATTAGGCTGCAGCGGCACAATCAAAAAGTGCCACTAAAGGTCTTTAGTGGCAGCGCTTTTAGTGACACTTTTTTTATGCCGCTATTGTCAGGGAGGTTTTTAGTGGTATTTTTTTTGGTTTTTAGTGGCACTTTTTCTATGCCACTAAATGTCATTTTGTTTATAGTGTCATTTTGTTCGAGACAAAATTGTCGCGAGTGTTGTTCGAGTTCTACATGTTCCATCTTCTTCTCAGTATGCTGATATTTTTACCAAAAGTCTCCCTTCTCCACTGTTCCTTGATTTTCGGTCCAGTCTGGTGTTCGAGATACTCCCGTTCGTACTGCGGGGGGCTATTAGCGGGTGTTTATATTGTATTTGTATTGTATTTTTAGTTAGTCCATTTATGTATTTAGGCCTTTATGTATTTCAGCCCATTTGTAAGGTGTATATATATCTGATATATTGAATGGATACGTTCAGGGGAATATACCAAATTTCAAACACACCCAAATGCATCTGATGCAAGATCGATTCAACAAACTCTAAGCCTGAAATTTGTGGTTTGATTAATAAAATATAAGACGAAGAGGAAGTCAATGAAGATTGAAGATAAAAGAAGGAGAGAGGTCGTGCAAGTTTAGATGGGAGAAGGCGGCGTTGGAATAGATTTTAGTTGTGGTCTTTCTGGTTTATCACGAAGGAGATGAGAGAATGGTGCAATTATGTTGTGTTGAATTGGGTCAGATTCACTGCTAATATAAGTGGGTGGTGATGCAAGCGGTGATGGTGGAAGAGGAGACGGATAGAAAAATGGGGTTCAAAGATTTCTTAACATACTTTAGGGCTTTTAGGGCAAATGATTTTTAAAATTTTTTGAATTTTTTTAATATATTTAATAGTATAAAAACGGAAAAATATAAATAATATAATAATCAATTTAAAAAAATATTATATTGGAAAAATAATTGTTTTATGATTGGTAGAGACCAAAGACAAAAAAATAAAAATAAATAAATAAATAAATAAATAAATAAAATAGAAACTACAAGTTAAAAAAGTATACTAACGGACCAAACACACAAAATTATCCCAAACTAGAAAGAACATTCATGTAATTTACTCATAAATAAAATTTTTAATTAGTAATATAAATCATAATCAGTAAGTAGTGTACCTACTTGATCCCAAACATTGGAAACGAAATTGATATAGATCGAGGCCAACAATTGCAATGTGTTAAGACATAAATGTCAGTAGTGAATCTAATCTGAGAACATATACAAGTATGTAATCAAGTATAAAATCTGGAATATTAAAAATATTAGAAAAACGGGATATAGATATACTTGGATCAGTGAGAGTTGTGAAACGCTTTCAGATTAAAGCATTTCGAGGGTACAGTCAAAATCTCTAATCGGATGAAACTCACTGTTTTTTCTAGAATGGAGAATGAAGAAGATGTTATGAAATATGTACCCAAAATGAATCCGAAATTGATCATATAACAGAAACTAACTTCCTATCTTAAAACTGACATATGGTAGTTACAGGAAAACAACTTCCTGTCCAAAAACGGTCATATTACCTGTCACAAACTAACATACAACCGGGTCTATAAATGGATCACAAAATCGACCCCAGCCATGGGCTCTGGCCCTTGGACCCCGCCAAGGGCTGCTGCCCCTTGGACCCCGCTCCCAGGGGCGCTGCCCCCAGACCCCCGTCAGTTTAGGGACTTCGCCCCTAAAAAAGCAGTATACTTTCAACTATGACAAAATTAAACAAATGTGCACTCCGCACCATACTAATTTGTTCGATAATTGTCAAAGTGACATTGATCAACAAATTAATCTCATTACACTTAAATAATATTAGTGATATAAAATCACCAACAAAGAATTGCACTAGGCTCCAATCTTTTAGAGAGAAAAAATAATGAAGAACAAGAAATGTAGTGTTTATGTATATGTTTTGGGCAGCAAAATTTGTTATATGCAGATGTATTTATAGGCTTTTAAGTGACAGTTAATTGTCACAACCGAATGCTCAACTGCTTATAGATATATGTATATTGACATATATTATGACTATCCTAGCAACACAAATAAATGTAAATTCCTTATCAATTACATTACCCATTTTTTTTTAAAAATAAACAGGACAAGTTCCTATAAGACAATGTTTGTTTTTCTTGTCTTCTGACGTGGGACAAAGTCCTACAACATACAACAAATTCTAAAATTCGAAGTTATACGATGATCCAAGTTCGCTTTGATTGCGAACTATGTCTCTCAACTTGCAAGCTACTTACCGACTATCATTTTTTGAAGTAACAAAATTAGATAGTTTTGCTCTTGATATACAAATCCTATGGTTTTACTACTCTTGCTAGCAAGGATATATGTACATGAAGAAAATAGAATATTATGTAGCACAAATCAAAAAACAGTCTGAACATATGTCATAGTTAATCATATTAATTTCATTTAACATGGATTTAAAAAAAGCATAAACGTAAAACACATACAATCATACACGATCATATATACATATTTATACACTAATTAAAACACACATAGGTAACATGGCTCAGTGAGTGAGTTGGACGAACTCAGCCAACATTATTCTATCACAAGGATGTGTACATATATATCTTATCCATGTTTTCAATGCATATACCACACAGAGGTTGATTTTACAACTATTTACCAGACCCAGGACGCTTGGCAAACCCATAAAAGTGGTGAGAATCTATTCCTTTTCCGAAGTCATCATCAAACCCGTCGGCATGTATAGGATGTTTGTCCATGGTATGTTTATTTTCGATAGCAACATCTTTGGTTGTGTGGCTACTCATTTTCCGAGGGAGATCTGAACCAGATTCAATGGTTCCTGTGATCAACATTAGGCCAAGAAAGAGTACAAACCAGTTAATCTTAATTTCCATTTCTTGATATCTTCCACAAATTCCTGAAAAAAATACAATTAACATTATGAAAGAATAGGTTTCATATGTTTTCTTCATTTAATACTTTTTATTGTTGATCCTATTTGTAACAGTACTTAATTTTTAACCAAATCTATATCCGAAAAATAGATGTTAACGTTGCTAAAAACAAGCCTATATTTCGAACTCATGGTCAAGATCCATATACATGGGATTATCTCGAAAACATAAAAATATACTGAACCCGTAATTATAAAAAACCATAAAATTTAATGATCTTTCATACGTATAATTTATTTCTTGCGTCGATATACAGATAAGATCAATACTCTATACATAACTATTATTAGATATGTAAACATTAAAGTAAATTCTCATTATTTACCCGCACCGAAAATTAAACCTACATCACTTTTCTGTACTATGTGAAATACAACATTTTTGTTTAATAGTCATCAAGAAATTTGCCAAAATACACAAGAATATTCCAAAGAGAACGTAGAAAAAAGATCACCTCTTTGATAATATGAAATTTTACCGATATTTTCTACCAACAACGGTTGTTATTTCTATAAATCCGCACATAATTTAAAAAGAATAGTCAAATGGCATGAATCAACATGATTTCCCTCTCAGCTGTGAAAGATGATAATATTGACGGATATACAAGATGAAAAACTTCCATAATCAAAATTATCTAAAGTTTTTACTCTTTTAATTTAATACACCAGCATGTTTATCTCTTACAGTTTATATGAACACAAGATATACATACAATTTTATAATTGATGTAATATGTGTTTTCTACCAAACTGCATGCCCTTGATTTATGCATATAGAAATGTATAATATGCAATGCAGTAAGTATCAATAAAAGGGTAAGAATCGCATACCAGAAACTATTTGTTTATTGAAGAAAGTGTGTTATTGACAAATGGCTTCCGTTTGTGTTATATAGGGGATTTTTTTATTCATTTTGACATTTTTTATCTGCATTAAAATTAATAAAATATTTATTAAACCTAGTGGCTTGCACTCACGAGATGCATTCAAATTCTAGATAGGATGAAAAGTTTCAAAATTAATAGGGTAATATTTAGATATTATTAAATGGAAACGAAATACAGTAAATTTTCGTAGGCTTATATTTCCGCGGTACTATGCAATACTGAAAATGTATATAATTATTCGTTATAAAGAAAAAAAATTATACTGATATAAAAAGATGGATTTTTGAGAGAAATTAATATTATTTTGATCAGACCGAAAAATTCCAAGGAGAACGTAAAAAAATGATCACCTCTTTTAATAGTATGAAACTTTACCGATATTTTCTACCAACAAGGTTGTTATTTCTATGATTTCGCACATTATTTAAAAAGAATAGTCAAATTGGCATGGATCAACATGCTTCCCTCTCAGCCATGAAAACCGATAATATCTTCTCTTCTAATAAAACAGTACATTAGATGACACGTGGCACCTCCTTAGTCCCTCCGTCTTTGCTTTTCCCGCTCATTTCATCTATGTGAAATTCCTACTTTGCCCTTATGCAGTCATTCCGTTCAAAATAATATCAGCAAATCATATAATCTTTAACCGGTCATCAAGCATAATCCCATTAAATCAGGAAGATCACACCATATCTGTTGATCTAAACCCTAATCCTCATAAACTTCTCTGGATTTAGGCTTTACAATATTGAATCGACCACCACAAAGCTCCACCACCTCCACCTTTTCATCTGGTTTATCTCTCTTCTCTTTCTTCTCTTTTTCTTTGCATCCTTATTCTTCGACAATAAATGAATGTACAAGTAAGCTTCAATTTTGGTTTCTTGTTTTCTTCTCTCTCTCTCTCTCTCTCTCTCTCGCGTCTATCTTCCAGGTATGTTTTGATGTGAAGGGTTATCTTGGACTGCTGTGAGCTGATTCCACGCCTTTTTTGTTTCCGCAATCGACAGGTTCCGCTACTTCTTCTATTCGTTTTTCAGGTTAGGGCTCGCCTCCCCCATGTCGTTGTTTGAAGCAACCAGAACTCCCAAAAGAAACAATAGGAGAATACCTTCCTGTTCATCCATAACATGGCGTTTGAGTTACTTCATTATCATCCCTTCCCCTGTATATTTCTACACTCCAAATCTTCACTGGTAATCCAAATACTCTTGAGACTTTAACACGCTTCCAATTTATTGATTTCTATTTGATTTTTTGTTTTTAGTTCTTAAACATTGTAATGTTTAAATCAGAACGCTCTCATATTCTTTTGTTTTCTGCTTCGGTTGAATCACCTCAGTCCTTTTTTTTTTCATGATCTAAGGTTTCAATTTATTCATCTCTCTCTAAGTTGGATCAAACCGTAAACCCTAGAAATTACTTTCTCCGTTTAGCCACCCAATGTTCTTCATCTTTCTTCTTCCTGATTACCAACCCTAACCCTCTGCTGCGTTTTCTTACAGGCCTTCAAGTTTAATCGAATCCTCAAATGTATACCATCGCACGTGGATGTACGTTTTATCACTTACATTCTTTTTATTTTTTGACCCTATTTTTTGAGGAATTTTTTGCTGTCAGTTTTTTGATTTCCTTTACGTGAAGTTATGCTCTACTATGTGTCTTTTTTTTTCACAATTTTCGTATTTCGAAACATAAATATAAAAATTCAGAACCTCTGTTATTCCAAATGGATACCGTTACAAATTTATGGGACACTTGTTTCATCCAGTGATTTTTTTCTAAATAAAATCTGGAATTCATCATATCAATCTGGAGTAAAGTAGAGTGTTTTGACCTAAAATCCACAAATTACCTCGATTTGGAAAGGATGGAGCAATTAGGTCCTACCAGGATGTTGTTGCTGGAAAAGAAATTAAGAACAGAGATGAACAGTCATGCCATAGAAAAAAATTGAAGGATGTCTAAACCTTAAAAGGAAATATCTAAAGTTTCATGACTATAAAGATTTTATTTTTTTAGGTACAAAAGGATTCACTTCTTCTCCTCCATACCCATAGTACACTTGGTCTATTTATACCTAGAAATTTCTTGAATTTATACCTTTCATGAAAACAATTTGTCCCCTGGAGTCAATCTATATCTTCCACAGAGGTGTTTTGAAAAAATGTTATCCATTTATAGCCCTAATTTGTTTCTGTTATTACTCTTTGCAGGTGTCCAGCTTGCAGAAATTATAAAGTACTTATATGTTTCTGTTATCCACTGGTAATCCAAATACTCTTGAGACTTTAACACGCTTCCAATTTATTGATTTCTATTTGATTTTTTGTTTTTAGTTCTTAAACATTGTAATGTTTAAATCAGAACGCTCTCATATTCTTTTGTTTTCTGCTTCGGTTGAATCACCTCAGTCCTTTTTTTTTTCATGATCTAAGGTTTCAATTTATTCATCTGTCTCTAAGTTGGATCAAACCGTAAACCCTAGAAATTACTTTCTCCGTTTAGCCACCCAATGTTCTTCATCTTTCTTCTTCCTGATTACCAACCCTAACCCTCTGCTGCATTTTCTTACAGGCCTTCAAGTTTAATCGAATCCTCAAATGTATACCATCGCACGTGGATGTACGTTTTATCACTTACATTCTTTTTATTTTTTGACCCTATTTTTTGAGGAATTTTTTGCTGTCAGTTTTTTGATTTCCTTTACGTGAAGTTATGCTCTACTCTGTTTCTTTTTTTTTTTCACAATTTCCGTATTTGGAAACATAAATATAAAAATTCAGAACCTCTGTTATTCCAAATGGATACTGTTACAAATTTATGGGACAATTGTTTCATCCAGTGATTTTTTTCTAAATAAAATCTGGAATTCATCATATCAATCTGGAGTAAAGTAGAGTGTTTTGACCTAAAATCCACAAATTACCTCGATTTGGAAAGGATGGAGCAATCAGGTCCTACCAGGATGTTGTTGCTGGAAAAGAAATTAAGAACAGAGATGAACAGTCATGCCATAGAAAAAAATTGAAGGATGTCTAAACCTTAAAAGGAAATATCTAAAGTTTCATGACTATAAAGATTCTATTTTTTTAGGTACAAAAGGATTCACTTCTTCTCCTCCATACCCATAGTACACTTGGTCTATTTATACCTAGAAATTTCTTGAATTTATACCTTTCATGAAAACAATTTGTCCCCTGGAGTCAATTTATATCTTCCACAGAGGTGTTTTGAAAAAATGTTATCCATTTATAGCCCTAATTTGTTTCTGTTATTACTCTTTGCAGGTGTCCAGCTTGCAGAAATTATAAAGTACTTATATGTTTCTGTTATCCACTGGTAATCCAAATACTCTTGAGACTTTAACACGCTTCCAATTTATTGATTTCTATTTGATTTTTTGTTTTTAGTTCTTAAACATTGTAATGTTTAAATCAGAACGCTCTCATATTCTTTTGTTTTCTGCTTCGGTTGAATCACCTCAGTCCTTTTTTTTTCATGATCTAAGGTTTCAATTTATTCATCTCTCTCTAAGTTGGATCAAACCGTAAACCCTAGAAATTACTTTCTCCGTTTAGCCACCCAATGTTCTTCATCTTTCTTCTTCCTGATTACCAACCCTAACCCTCTGCTGCGTTTTCTTACAGGCCTTCAAGTTTAATCGAATCCTCAAATGTATACCATCGCACGTGGATGTACGTTTTATCACTTACATTCTTTTTATTTTTTGACCCTATTTTTTGAGGAATTTTTTGCTGTCAGTTTTTTGATTTCCTTTACGTGAAGTTATGCTCTACTGTGTTTCTTTTTTTTTTTCACAATTTCCGTATTTGGAAACATAAATATAAAAATTCAGAACGTCTGTTATTCCAAATGGATACCGTTACAAATTTATGGGACAATTGTTTCATCCAGTGATTTTTTTCTAAATAAAATCTGGAATTCATCATATCAATCTGGAGTAAAGTAGAGTGTTTTGACCTAAAATCCACAAATTACCTCGATTTGGAAAGGATGGAGCAATCAGGTCCTACCAGGATGTTGTTGCTGGAAAAGAAATTAAGAACAAAGATGAACAGTCATGCCATAGAAAAAAATTGAAGGATGTCTAAACCTTAAAAGGAAATATCTAAAGTTTCATGACTATAAAGATTCTATTTTTTTTAGGTACAAAAGGATTCACTTCTTCTCCTCCATACCCATAGTACACTTGGTCTATTTATACCTAAAAATTTCTTGAATTTATACCTTTCATGAAAACAATTTGTCCCCTGGAGTCAATCTATATCTTCCACAGAGGTGTTTTGAAAAAATGTTATCCATTTATAGCCCTAATTTGTTTCTGTTATTACTCTTTGCAGGTGTCCAGCTTGCAGAAATTATAAAGTACTTATATGTTTTCTTCACAATCTATGCGATAAATTCTCTATTAGTCACTACCCTTCACTATTCTGGGGCCCACCTTCTAAATTTGTGGGTGGTAGCTGGAATGGGAAATATGAAAAAAGTAAAATTGTTTCTATTGAAGATGGAAGAACTTCTAATCGTTTACTCAAATGGATTAATACACAATTAGAAAGGTATACAAGCGTTAAGAAGCTATATTGTTTTGTGTATACAATGTTAATGAGTTTTTAATTTTAAGTACATGTTTTACTTTTTTACGTAATTCATATAAATTGGAAGATGAAAAGTATGAAAATGATGAGCTTCTTCAATCAAACTTCTCAGACCCTGGACAGGTTTGAATCAATTCTTCATTTTTCTATAAAAATAAGATTTTTATTTTTTATTATATTTGTAATATTAAAGCTTAGAATTACTTATTTTTTTTTATAGATTGCACGTGCTGTTTATGATGTTGAAGAGGCTACCTCTCTTGCTTTTGACATTATTCTTGAAAACAAGATGATTAAACCAGATACTCGAGCTACTCTTATAAAATTCATGCAATTAATGACAGCTCATCACCTTTCAAAGAGGTTCATATTTTAAATAACCCACTTTTCTTTGTTTCATTTTTTTTCTATTTACTTAGTTTATAATTTTAAACATTATAGGTGTCGAAGAGGAAGTGCTGATATACTTGTGAATTTTGACGATTTATACCCTTCAAATATTTTGTCACCATTTGAAAAAAACAACACTCAACATGGTGGTCTTACTAAATTTGAGATATGTGGAAAAGAATTTCCACGTGGATATTGGGTAAATTTTATATTTTCTTTTTTCAATTTTTTATAAAAGAGATAACAAAATTAATACTTTTGAAAATCCTGATTTTGGCTATTATATGTACAGATGTTTTGTCGTGGTAGCAAAAATGGTACAAGGGGATTCAGGTATATAATATATTATTATCAATCTTATAATTTTATATTTTGTAAAAACCTATTTTTTTATTTAATTGCAGCTGTGGTTTATGAGTTTTGCTACATTCACTATCCGTGAGAGTTGAAAATGAAGAAAGTCAAATGGCATTTATGTCAATTTGCGATTTTATACATAAGTTTTTTGCTTGTGAAGAGTGTAGTCAACACTTCTACAATATATGCTCAAGGTAAGAAAGTCAAAAGTTTGTTACATTGACTTTTAATGTTTTTTAATAAAACAGTACATTAGATGATCAATCGAATGGGTAAAATTGATATTTCGATTATACACCACCTTGTTTTAGATCGGTCTCTGACAGGAATATAAAGCAGGTACCATTTTAATTTCACTTCATCTTATCCATCATTTTCACTATCTCATTTCTTCCCTTTCTCTCTGGATTTTCTAGGCAATATTATTTTCTTTAATATTCAACATTATTGTAGATTGAGTTTTAGTAAGTTATGAAAGTTTCAACGATTTCATTGCTTGAAACTTGTGAATTCTCTATTTGTTGTTAGAATTTGTCATTTTCAGGCATCTTCCATAATCAATGTATATCTTTTTCACAATTTCATTTGTTCTCCGTTGACTTCCGTTTCACAAATACCATAGTTTCAACTTAGTTCTTTCATTGGTATGTATTATTTTAATCAAAATGTGGTTTTTGTTAATTTTATGTTAATTTTGTTTTTATGTATGTAATGTTACTTAAATGGTCCGAGTTTCAAATAGTTAATCATAATAACTTCGAAGTGAACATTGAAATGTTGCTATTATAATATGATTTGACACAAAACTAGATATGATGCCTTTTCCAGATTATGTTATCCGGGAGTCACCTACAGATTACTAGGGAGGGATATGAACAGTGACCTTCTACTGTTGTATCCGCTAATCATAAGTTAAACTTTCTTATTATTTTTTTCTAAGAGATGTTTTGAATGAGTACTTTTTTATTTATTTATTTACGAAGACAATGTTTCTTTTGGTTTTGCAGATGGTTATATTATATGTGCTGATTTGAAAACACAAAAAAGTATTAAAAGCACAAGTGGGTTTGGAACTTAAATGTAACTATATCATTACCTTTGAATATTTTTTAATTAATAATGGACGATACTGGCAATATTGGTAATAATCAAGTTGGTTTTTTTAATTGTAGTCGAATAGTAAGTACTTAGCATGCTGTTAGTTTTGTATATACTACGGGCCATTATTTATATAAAATATTATAATTATAATACTATCGATTTCTGAACTTATATAAGAGAAACCCTTGTATATTTATTATATATTCGGTAAGAAAGGCAATAAAAACACTTACAATAATCTAGAGATATAGTCATTTAATATATTGATTACTTATAAATTATGAGCAAAAGTTGCTGATCTTTAATTTACCAATAATCGACAAGTATATGGTGCCTTTTTATAAAGGAAATTCTTCTTTTTGTAAAATCAATATTAAAAAGAAATAAATGGAAGAGGTATCTTATAATGAAAGAAAAAAGATGGAGACAGTGGAGTTAAAAATTTATTGGGATGATAAGTTACAATAGGAAAAATGACGTTTTAGCCAACAAACTTTTTTTTCTTCCCACGCGCTCCCGTGTGGTCGATTTTACAACCCGTATATGTTCAATAAGAATCATACACCAAAAGTAAGAGTTTAATAAGAATAAAGCCTTTTGTCTTTTGAGTGATATTTTGTTGTATTATACAAACTCATGACTTTTATAAAATAGGTGTATTTACATGTGTAATTAAATACTTACAAATTACAAAGTTATTAAAAATACAACATTACTAGTTTTTCTAAATTAATAATATATTACTTTATTATATAATTAATTTTTTAATTCTATTTACAATTATCACCCGTAGGTTCCACGGGTTTTAACCTAGTTGACGGATATAAAAGATGAAAAACTTCCTAGTAAAAAATATCTAAAGTTTTTACTCTTTTAATTTAATACACCGATATGTTTATCTCATGAACACAAGATATATATACAATTTTACAATAGAATAATTTCATATATATCTTGTTAAACATCAAAATATCATATTTATCCAACCTAAAATCTAAATAACATATTTATCTTTTATAAATTTCAAAATATCATATAAATTTGGAGCAAATTGAAAATTTTAAAATTTTAAAATCCTATATATAAATTTATGTACATGTAGACATCAATATTAATTAATTTACATCAATAGTATAAACAGACAATATAAATCTAAAATATAAACAAAAATATTTTATTTAAAAGTGGTAATTTTTTATTACATAATAACTAAAAATAAAATCTAATAATTATTTTCCATAAGAAATTATTCACCAATAAAAACTATTTGTCGTTGCCGCTTTGTGCGGGTAGACATTTAGTGTGTGTGTGTCTCTCTCTCTTTCTCTCTCTCTCTCTCTATATATATATATATATATATATATATATATATATATATATATATATATATATATATATAGGGTTAGGTTTATGTGAGACCATTATATTTCGTGAGACGGAAAGACGCAATCATAGTTACTCATTTTGTAGATAAAAAAACATTTTTAAAATGCAAAATAAGTGAAAATTTTTGAATTTTTTTTTAAAATATTATTTTTCGTCAAAATTTTTATCGAAAAAAAATAATTAATAAAAATAAATAAATAAAATAAAAAAATTACCGTTTTTTTGAAATAACTGTAAAATATTCTAATAGAATATTAGAATATTGTAGTAGAATATTAGATATTTTACATATCTGACAAAACTACTAGAATACTAGAATATATTCTAACATTTTAAAAATCACATTCGGATTTTTCTTTTTCTTTTGCAATTTAAAATTATTTTTAGATTGTGTCTCACGGTCTCATAAAATTAATATGGTCTCAAATGAACCTAAACCTTATATATATCCATATTCTAATAAATGAATAGTTTTAATCTTCTTTTCCCAAGTGTCACTCTAATATTACTTCTCATTAATATTATTTAATGTGTCATGTAGATATATTAGGGAACTAATTTTAAAATTCAAATTTACATTTTCTAATTATATGTTAAATTTGAAGTTATAATAATTTTAAAAATTTGATATATCTCTTAATTAATAATTTATTTAAAATAACTTATTTAAAATAACTGATTAATAATTATAAATTTTTATTATAAAAATTTAATTAATTTTATAACCGTGGTTTTCACGGGTTATAAACTAGTATATATATATATATATATATATATATATATATATATATATATATATATAGTTACAATCCAAAGCTAATCTTTTAATTCTATTTACTTGTTTAATATTAAAACGAAACATCTCAATAAATACTAAAAAGTGTAATTATTTATCGAGTATTAGAAAGTATGAGTAAATCACAGAAATTTCCTAAACCTACTGGTTGCACTCACGAGATGCATTGAAACCCTAGAAAGGATGAAAAGTTTCAAAATGGGGTAATATTTAGATATTATTCTGTGGAAAACGAAATACATCAAGTTTTCATAGACTTATATTTCCGCATTATGAAACACTGAAAATGTATATAATTATAACATTTTTTTTTCTCAAAACGGCAAATATTATTAAAACACCTTGATTAGCAAGTAACTAAATCATGGAAAAGAGAAAACAAAGGTCTAAAACAGGAAAGGGGAAAACAAGCAAACAAGCAAATTACAAGAGGTGTGTAAAAGGTGAGTAGCACCACTCCACCCAACTACCACAACCCGCAGAGCTCCTATACTTACACCAATTATAGGATGTGGAAATAATAGTATCCGCCACTTTGGTAGGGGCAGTATAAGAATTTTTGAACACCCTATCATTCCTGGCTAGCCAAATAGACCAAATGGTACAGTAGAGAATCATGCTTCCAATCACTCTTCTTTTACACCTGTTTCCACCAGTAGCCACCGAATCGAGAACGTCCAACATATTGCTAAATCTCCTAGTCTGAAATCTGCACCATTTGAAGATCCAGTTGTGAACCTCCTGAGCATATTCACATTGAAGAAAGAGATGATTTGCCGTTTCCGAATCATTGCTACAGAACGTGCAGTGGTGATATCGAGTTTGAACTCCCCTCTTTGCTAAGGAATCCGCCACTGGAATACACCCGAGCATGGCTCTCCAAACGAAGCACCGAACCTTGAGAGGTATAAGCTTTAACCAACAGATAGTAGGGCCTGTATAGGATGTCAATTTTGAGTCTATAATATGCCTCATGTTGTCCACCTTGTATACATCATCTGGAGTCAGGGATAATCTAAAACCGTAAGGTTGGGAGGTCCCCATCAGTTCCATGTCACCTATGTCACGGTATAGGCCCAGTAATTCATGTAGTTCAACACGCGAGGATGGTTCTTGCCTCCAATCCTAAGTGAAACCAGCACCTGTCAAGCGAGTAACTAAGATGCAACATTTAACTTTTTCAAGTTTATATAAATGTGGATATTTGACTTGGAATGGGATTTTTCTACACCACGAATCCTTCCAAAACAAAATTTTCACATTTTCTCCTGGTATGAGGTTGAAATACTCGAGGCAATCTATGTGGAGAGGCTCAAGGGCATTAATGGCTTTATGAATATTATTCCAAACACCAGATGAATTTTTCCTAGCAATATAGGTAGCTAGCTTTTTGCTAAGGTTATGAATGCTCACGATGACATGCTTCCATAGACTATTGTCGTCGTTCATTAATCTCCACCACCATTTAATCAACAAGGCTAAATTTTGTGCTTTTAATGTGGAGATGCCAAGGCCACCAACAGCAATAGGGGAGATAATGTTTGACCAATCAATCCAATGTATTTTTCGATTCAGCTCCCCCCCCCCACAGGAAGTTGCGTCTTATTTTCTCCAATTTATCGATTATACCATGTGGTGCCTTGAATAATGACAAGTAATATGATAGAAGGCTATCCAGAACTGATTTAATGATGGGATATACGGCCGTCGAAGGATAGTGTTTTGGCTTTCCAGTCAGATAATCTGGATTTGAATTTGTCCAAGATGGGCTGCCAAT